TCAGCCGTTTACGATGGTGTGCATCTATAATCCCAGTGGCTCGGGAGGCTGAGGCAGGAGGATCTTGAGTTCAAAGCAAGCCTCAACAATTTAGTAAGGCACTTAGCAACTCAGTGAGACCCTGTCTCTAAATAAAATAGAAAATAGGACTGGGAGTGTGGCTCAGTGGTTGAACACCCCTGGGTTCAATCCTCAGTACCAAAACAAAAAAAAAAATGAGGTGAGTATGTAGCTTCATGGTAGAGGACCCTTGAGTTCAATTCCCAGTACTGGAAAAAATATTGCAACTCTTTTTGAATGTGTGTGTGGTGCAGGGGATTGAACCCAGGACTTTGTGCATGTGAGGCAAGCACTCTACCAACTCAGTTATATCCCCAGCCCTAGTAATGAATTCTATATCTTCACATTATGTACCTGTCATATGTAGAGAAAAGCAGACCTTTGAATTTATTGAGAGATTATATAAAACCTGGAAAGAAGGAATCAATCTTCTTTTGTTGTCTAAATTGAAAGCAAAATGAGATGAATACCAGTATCTCCTGGTGTTCTACCATGTACCAGCCTTTCAGTGTCCAAACAGAAATGTTTTATTCCTTTAACCTTCTCCCCATGCTGGTGTGTGTTGGTTTGTTTTCAGATTTGTAATCATATGTAATCATAGATTACATATTCACATTAGATTTCATGCTCTACAGAGATGCATACTGTGGGTTACATTATACCCTATAAGGCTTGCAAAGTATGAAGTAGAATTCCTGGAATGTAACTGTGAACTATTGATACAGTATTTGGGGTGCTGTGTATTTTTAAATATACAAGCCCAAACCAAAAAAAAAATTGTAGGTTTTTGTTTTTGTACTAGGATTTGAACCCAGGGGTACTCTACTACTATGCTATATCACCAACCCTTTTTTAAAAAATTTTTTTAGTTATTAATGGACATTTATTTTATTTATATGTGGTGCTGAGAATTGAACCCAGGGCCTCTCACATGCTAGGCAAGTGCTCTGTTACTGAGCCACAACCCCAGCCCATCACCAACCCTTTTTATGTATTTATTTTTATTTTGAAACCCGGTCTTGCTAAATTGCCCTGGTTGGTATTGGATTTAAATTTGTAATCCTCCTACCTTAGTCTCCCAAGTAGCTAAAATTATAGGTATGTGATTAAGTGCCTAGCAGTTAATTTCATTTCTAAAAATAGTTTTAGGGCTGGATGCAGTGCCCTGCCTCTAAACCCAGCTACTCAGAAGGCTAAGGCAGGAGAATCTGAAGTTCCAGGACAGCCTGGGCAACTCAGTGAGACCCTGTCTCAAGCTAAAAATAAAGAGTTGGGCCAGGTGGTTCGCACCTGTATTCCCAGCAACTTGGGAGGCTGAGGCAAGAGGACAAGTTCAAGGACAGTATCAGCAATTGAGTGAGGCCCTAAGAAATTTAGCAAGAATATATTTCAAAAAAGAATTTTGACA